TGTGTGAGTGAGTGAGTGAGTGAGTGAGTGAGTGTGTGAGTGTGTGTGTGTGTGAGAGTGTGTTTGTGTGTGTGTATGTGTATGTTTGTGTGTGTGTGAGAAATAGGCCTCTGGACAACCTAAGAAAGAAAATCTCTTCTTGAATGATTTTCTTCAGTGATTGGCCTGCTGAAATCCCACAGTAATTAGTAATTAGTTTCTCTGCTCTAGGTGGCTTCATCAGTTTCAGCGGCTCATGGCGTGTGCAGGGCGTTCTTGCCATGTCACGTTCACTCGGCGACTACCCGCTGAAGAACCTGAACGTGCTGATCCCTGACCCCGACGTGCTGACCTTTGACCTGGACAAACTACAGCCTCAGTTCATGATTCTAGCGTCAGATGGACTCTGGGACGCCTTCAGCAACGAGGAAGCCGTGCATTTCATTAAAGAGCGTCTGGATGAACCGCATTTCGGTGCGAAGAGCATCGTCCTTCAGTCGTTTTCCCGCGGCTGTCCAGACAACATCACCGTGATGGTGGTCAAGTTCACGAAGAGAGGCTCCAAAGCCACCGGCTAGTGAAGAAGACTCAGCTCTCACGTGTAATAATGTAATGAAAACATATATTTTAATGAATGAGTGACTGGATGAATGATTAACATTACGCCTAAGTTTAACGTTAGATAAAAAAATATTTTTTGGAGAAGCTACTATTTGTATTTAAGTTGAATGCAATTATTCCTTATTAAAGGAATCGTTCCCCTATGGAACACACAAATACAATTTTTGAAGAATCTATACGCAGCTCTTTCATTAAAAAAAAAAAACACACACAGTTCAAAGTGACTAGAGGTCATGCAACAAAAATAAAAAATCTGATGGACTGAGTTGTAAAGTTTTCATTTCATCTTTTTTTATCTGTCATGTTTGATTTCATTTCCCTGGTTATTATATATGTGCTATTTTCAACAATTAAAAGTAGGTTGCCTTAAGAAGTAACCCAGCTAACATGTATGGTATGTTAAATAAAGTTTAAAAACTGAAATCATGAACTACTGATGAGCATGAGTCTGGAGAAACAAGTAAGCTGTGATAGTGACCATGTCTGTAAGACTATATAAAACAGAAATAGACCCAAACTGCAAATCATTCATTGAAAATATTCCTCTTTTGCTGCAGATGTGAGCAATTTAACTGTCATTTCTGGCTGAAATCTGAGTCCATAATCCATAATAACGCTTCCTCCAGTGAAAAGTGCATCTCCTGTTGTCTCTCACATCAAAATCCAGCCACATATTTGTTTAGAGCTGTTTAAACGGTGCTTGATCTGTGCAGATTTCTCTCCTGATTCAGACCAGAACACTTTTACACTGGAGGAAGCGTTATTATGGATTATGGACCCATCTGATGGATTTGTTTCATACAAACACGCAGCTTTTGGCTTCTCAAGACGTTCATTGATGCTTCACTGCAGAGGATCCATTGGTGAAAAAGTGATGGAATGCTACATTTCAACAAACTTTGCACGATGCACTGATTTGTGAATCTGAACACGAATGAGATCCGAGAGCTTTGGCAGAGGGAAACCTTTTCAGTGAATAAAGACTGGGTCTGTTTTTTCGCACTCAAAGCATCATGTTAACAGGGTGTCATCAGTCATTTCTTCATTTGAAACTTATTTCATGTCACAGAAATGGTCATATTTACAGGCAGTGAAGTATGCCTGTGCTAGTTCAGTTCTGAAGACGTTTTCTGTTTATACAGAGACATTTATAACAAGCAGAAGTTATATCTCAGTTGTGTAAGTGATGATCGTTTCAGAAACACACTGTAGAAAAAGCAACTTTACTGAAACACCTTTATATATATTTCAGGTATATCTGACTTACAGCCTTGACTTGATTCAGTATCATCATTGGAAGATTTAAATTCAAGTATGTTGCCTTATTTTAATTAACATGCTCTTATGATGAATTTATTTGCGTTGTCCAGAATTTGTTTACAGTGTCCGTGTCATATGCACATCAAAAGTCAATGTATTATTTTACATATCGATGTCTCTCTGAGACAAAGAATAACAAAATGAATGTTTATATTGAATATTAAAACAAGATAAATAATGTAAATGATGCATCATACTCTTCTTTAGTTCATGACTGAAAAAAAAGACTTTTTTGAGCAATCCATTAAAATGCTGTTTGTGCTGAAGAATGGTTGAGTACAGTTTTTTTTGTTGCATTAATGAATGCAGTGTGTTATCTATTCTATGTATTTTTATATCCATATGTTGAGGTTTACTTACTATGCTCTATGGACTCCATCCGCTCTTACAAGAAACACAGTATTTATCATTTTATTTGGGAAGTTATCAAACAACTTTTTTTTATTGAAAATTGAAAATTGAGTTTAATATAGGCTGTACAGACAAATATAACTACGTATTTACATATTACAAAAAGCATTTGAATGCTTTAACAGCACACTTGAATCTTCACAGTTTAATCACCTTTTTAATCAGCGATGTAATTTCCTCATTATCTTCAGCTGGGATGTTCCAGTGACAACGCAGCACGGTGTCTGTCATATATATATATATATATATATATGTGTGTGTGTATATATATATATATATGTGTGTGTATATATATATATATGTATATATATATATATATATATATATGTGTGACCACCCTGTATGTAAACAAGTACATACCTGAAGTGAAACTGAAGGACATTTCTGAGGCAACAGAAGCTCCAGATGGCCTACAGCTTGTGGCAGCCAATGGGACCAGTATGCCTTATGTTGGATGGGTAGAGATAACTTTCAAATTGGCTTCTGGTGATAGCATAAAAGAGTAAGTCATTCCTGTCCTAGTCTTAAAAGATCAAAGGTTATCCAAACCAATCATCAGCTACAATGTGACTGAACAAGTGATGAGACAGATTGAAGCGAATGAAGACAGTGAAGTGAGTAATGGACGTTTGCACAAGATTGTCAAGTATGCCTTCCCTGGCATGAAGAAAAATAAGATACAGACCTTCATTAATCTTGTAACTACTGATAATCCGGGTGAATATTTGGTGAAAACGATGAAAGACCCTGTGAACATACCAAAATGCACAGTTATGCAGATACCGTGTCAAGTTAAAGTGCCATATATGAAGCAAGACACTGTTTTCTTGTTCGAACCACATGTAAACCCACAGTGACCAGATGGTCTGGAACCTCTGGAAACCCTAGTAACTCTCCAGAAAGGAAGTCGTCCAGTGGAGAAGATCAGCGTACAGAACATCACAGGCCATGATATCAGGCTTGCAGGGAAAACTGAGCTTGGGACAATGCAATCAATAAAATCTGTACTACCAGCATCACATTGTCCAACAACAGCCATGATCAGTGAGGTTAAAAAAACCACCAATGCTAATGAAAGTAACAGTGAAGGTCAAAAAGTAGACCTTCTTCAAAGCAGTGGCGGTCAGCTAATCCCACAGTTAAAGGTCTAATTCGTGAGTGGGACAAGTTGGTGTTGGACGAGTATGGCATACTGCACTGCAAAACATCACAAGGAATGCAGCTAGTGTTGCCTGCTCAGTTTAAGAGTACTTTCAGTCTTTAGGGAACTGCATGATGTGATGGCTCACCAAGGTCTTGACCGCACAACCAGCCTCATCAGAGATCGTTTCTTCTGGCCCTACATGCAAAAGGAGATCGAACACAATGTGCTGAGAACCTGTTCATGCATAAAACAAAACAAAAAAAACATGCAGAGAGATAAGGGCACCCCTCAAGAGCATCAAGACGACATATCCATTTGAGTTAATATCCACTGACTTTCTTCACTTGGACAAGTGCAAAGGGGGTTACGAGTACATCCTTGTTATTATTGACCATTTCACTCGATTCGTGAAAGCATATGCTACAACTTCAAAATCTGGAAAGACTGCAGCAGATCGTTTTTTCAGTGACTTTGCCCTGAGGTTTGGGTTCACCTCGTGAATTCACCATGACCAAGGCAGGGAATTCGAAAAATCAACTCTACGATCAGCTCCGAAAATATAGCGACATCGCTGGCTCTAGAACAACCCCATACCACCCGCAAGGAAACGGACAAGTAGAAAGATTCAATCGGACCATTCTGCAAATGCTCAAAACTCTCACAAAGAAACAGAAATTGAATAGGAATTGAATAAGCTAGTGTTTGCCTACAACTGTACTAAAAGCGAAGTGACTGGATTCTCACCTTTCTACCTAATGTTCGGTCACTCTCCAAGGCTTCCAATTGATGCATTTTTTGGCCTCAATCCAGACAAGGGTTCCATCGACCACAATGAATATGTGGAGAGGTGGACAAAGGGTACGCAAGAGGCTTATGAGATTGCCAGTGAGCATGCAAAGAAGTGTACTGAGAGAAACAAAAGAAATGATGACCAAAAAGTAAGATGTACTAATCTATTTCCTGGCAGTAGAGTTCTGGTGAGAAATCTGACTCAAAAAGGGGGCCCAGGAAAACTTAGAAATTTCTGGGAGGATGAAGTCCACATTGTCACTCATCTGCCAGGCTGCTGAGGATACTCCAATCTACGAAGTGAAACCAGAGCAGAGCAAAGGCAGATCAAGAGTGTTGCATCGCAATCATCTTCTACCCTGTGATCACTTACCTCACTTACCTTATGACAAAATTCATTCACACATGGACACCAAATATGAATTCTTGGGTACCAATACAGATTCATTATTCTCAGCCCTCATTTATCTATTATACAGCCAATTAAAGAACCCCAATGAACTTTCACTTGACCAGGTCTCAGATGGCACTGCAGAACTGTACAGACAAACTGCCATCATACTGACACTAACTGTAATCATACCTGACACTGGGGTAAAGCAGCGGAGCTTTTATTATGCCACAGTCGAGCGCTTCCGCCGCTTCCGGTCGTGCGTATGTGGGGTAAAGCAGCGGAGCTTTTATTATGCCACAGTCGAGCGCTTCCGCCGCTTCCGGTCGTGCGTATGTGGGGTAAAGCAGCGGAGCTTTTATTATGCCACAGTCGAGCGCTTCCGCCGCTTCCGGTCGTGCGTATGTGGGGTAAAGCAGCGGAGCTTTTATTATGCCACAGTCGAGCGCTTCCGCCGCTTCCGGTCGTGCGTATGTGGGGTAAAGCAGCGGAGCTTTTATTATGCCACAGTCGAGCGCTTCCGCCGCTTCCGGTCGTGCGTATGTGGGGTAAAGCAGCGGAGCTTTTATTATGCCACAGTCGAGCGCTTCCGCCGCTTCCGGTCGTGCGTATGTGGGGTAAAGCAGCGGAGCTTTTATTATGCCACAGTCGAGCGCTTCCGCCGCTTCCGGTCGTGCGTATGTGGGGTAAAGCAGCGGAGCTTTTATTATGCCACAGTCGAGCGCTTCCGCCGCTTCCGGTCGTGCGTATGTGGGGTAAAGCAGCGGAGCTTTTATTATGCCACAGTCGAGCGCTTCCGCCGCTTCCGGTCGTGCGTATGTGGGGTAAAGCAGCGGAGCTTTTATTATGCCACAGTCGAGCGCTTCCGCCGCTTCCGGTCGTGCGTATGTGGGGTAAAGCAGCGGAGCTTTTATTATGCCACAGTCGAGCGCTTCCGCCGCTTCCGGTCGTGCGTATGTGGGGTAAAGCAGCGGAGCTTTTATTATGCCACAGTCGAGCGCTTCCGCCGCTTCCGGTCGTGCGTATGTGGGGTAAAGCAGCGGAGCTTTTATTATGCCACAGTCGAGCGCTTCCGCCGCTTCCGGTCGTGCGTATGTGGGGTAAAGCAGCGGAGCTTTTATTATGCCACAGTCGAGCGCTTCCGCCGCTTCCGGTCGTGCGT